CTCCAGCCCTCGGATCATCTTCGTGGCCCTCCTCTGGACCCGCTCCAAGACATCCACGTCCTTCTATGCTGGGGGCTCCAGAGCTGGATGCAGGACTCCAGGTGGGGTCTCATGAGAGCAGAGTAAAGGGGCAGAATCATCTCTCTCGACCTACTGGCCACGCTGCTCTTGATGCAGCCCAGGACATGGTTGGCTTTCTGGGATGCAAGCGCACATTGCTGGCTCATGCTGAGCTTCTCATCCACCAGCACCCCCAAGTCCTTCTCCTCAGGGCTGCTCAGGAGCCACTCTCCGCCCAGCCTGTCCTTGTGTTTGGGATTGCCCCGACCCACGTGGCAGAAGATGTCAGTGGTGGGGCTCAGGATTGTCCTGTCACTGCCCAGTGTGAAACCCAATACAGCAACAATCCTGATCTGTAAAAGGAAATAATATAAGGGAAAATGTGTGGATTACAATGAAAGCTTCACAACAACTTGCTGTCAAGCCAGTGAGATGTGGGGTTCGGTTTCTGAGCCAAGCTAATCCACGAGCTGGTTGTTCACGCAAGTCAGGTGTGGGCTTTCTGTGCCTGCGGCTTTTCGGTGTCAGACATTGCAAGGTTATCAACTGCTGCAAACTAAAATGCAAATTAAAAGGTACAAGGAGCGCTGATAATGTTTTTTCCTTAAGAATTTCTGCTCTTTCTGGAATTGTGTATTCGAGTACAATGCTGCGCATGATTTTTAATACTCTTTTGTTATTACAAATGACTTTCACCAGTGTGAGCCAAAACATTATAGCTGGAGTGTTCTTTATAGAAGTAGTAAGCAGAAACAGTATCATTAAACTAAATTCCATAATCTCTGATTTATGTGAGTGTGGAAAATATGATGATCGTCATTGTTGGCTCTTGCATTGCACAACTCGGCGTAGACCAGCGTGTGTGCAAACCATTCTTTCTTTGTTACTCATTTTGTTTATAATTTCTTCCTTCAAGCTACTTTGACAAGCTACTCAGAAAATGTGGAACGCACTAAATATGGAGGGGAAAGCAGTAAAGAACTTGGGTCGGGAGGAAACCTGAAACCTTGGCAGTCCCAGAAATCCAGCATGGACTCCTGCTTGTACCGCGTGGATGAGAACATGACGGCCTCCACCTACAGCCTCAACAAAATCCCGGAGAGGAACCTGGAGACGGTCTTGTCCCAGTCGGTGCAGTCCATTCCTCTTTACCTTATGCCACGGCCAAATTCAGTAGCAGGTAAGAAACAAACGGGTTTGCCTTTGGGATGGAGTGAGACACAGTGCCTGCTTGTCACAGCCTTTTGCATGCTCTCGTTATCCGAAGAGAAATCTCCTTGCTGTAGTCAGCATCGTGAAGCGTGACAAAGATTGTCTTTTCATTTGACTTACTGCTTCTAAATGGAAAATTCCTGGGGGGGGAAACTGGTTCTGGTGATGTTTAATGGTTATTTCAGCAGTCTGTGGTCCCTTTTTTTACCAAACTGTACAACTGTAAGATTGTTGGAGAAAATGTTTAAAGAAAAAGAAGATTCTTTGCTATCATTACAATGCAAGTAACCTTGGGTTTAAAGTACCACACAATTCCAAGACATCGCAGCCATTTCTACTGTTTCAAAGGGCTCATTGCAAGTAGAATCAAGTGTCTGATCTTCTCTGAAGATCTTCAGAACTCTGGAGTTAAGAGAATTATGATACTTTCTGTCTGCAGAAGAGTTGCTGTCGATCCCATCTTTCTCGGTGGACCTGGCCCGGATTGTCTCAGCACACGCGTGGGCCCGCGCTGGTTGGGCTTTTGCGGTATCTGGGATTTGCTAATAGCTGAAATTGTTTGTTTTGGCAGAACAGCAACATTTTCTTCATTTAATTTGATCTTTGCTGTTTGAAAGATCCCTAAATGATGCTGCGACATAGCTTATCGATGTCTTTTAACATCCTGCTAAATTTCCCCCTGAAGTCAGTAACTGCAGGACAGAAACAAGAGATAGGATTAAAAATATTAAAACTTTACTGAAAGGCTGCTTGCCTGGAATTGTTCCCCTTTGCTGTGCTACACAGGGCAGGCCAGGTACCGTAAAGTAAATACGCATGTATATCGGTTTAATTGACTTTGGAAGTCGGTGGCTTGCTTCACGCATGCAGAGGCAAATACCATTTCAAGAGAAAACCATCTAGCAAGGTTCGGGAGCACCATTTCCTTCTCGCTGTTTTGTCTGCTGGGGATTTTGCTGCTTTTGAGGAGTATGTCAGCTAAGGCAGTTCCTATCCCAGGATAATCATTGGGGTAGTGACTGTGGACAAGAGTACAAGATCTGCCTTAACCTTTTATCCTCGAATGGTCACGTGTGATCTCCTGTAAGTTTAGGGCACCAGAAATTGTTTTCTAGGTAATAGACTTGTACGGGTGTTTTCCCCAGAGCGGTTAACGTCATTATCTGAGTACAGGAGTGACGGGCAGGGAAACCAGATGGAGTTTCAGGGTTGACTTCAGCCTAGCTGCAAAGTGCGCCGTTGCCCAAAGAGTTCATCCTGCGCTGTCTGCCAGCTCCACGTCCTTGCACCAGCGCTACACCTTGGGTAGCCGCTTGATAAACCGGATTAGTAGACTAATCCCACTGAAAATTAACCCTCTAGAAAAGATGTATATCAATTTTGAGCCACAGGTTCAAAAGGAGGCAAAGCGTGGCTGGGAGCGGGGCAGAAAGCTGCCTTTCCTTCAGAGTATGCTGCGTTTTAAGGTTATCAGGAAACCACAACTTTGCTAAAACAGACTGTTCTTGTCTGTCTTCTTTTTTTCAAGGCAGTTGATTTTATATACAAACAGTCTATTCTTGGGAAGGGAAACATGGCAGCCTTACACTTTGTGGCTTTTTTTTTTCTTTTTTTTTTTCTTTTTTTTCTTTTCCTTTTTTTTTTTTTTAAATTTCTCCCTGAATATCTTCCAAAATGGCACAAAAATGTTCATCTTCTTACAAAGAGCAACCAATGCCACAGAAGGCATCCCTGCTCTCACCCTGTGGCTTACGACTCGAAGCAGTTCTCCCAACACGTATTGATCTCATCTGGCACTTCATTGCAGAATATTTCTTCAGAAACAGTTAAAACCAGGGGTTTTGGTAGATACTTTCTGTTGGAAATATCACTGGAGACTCTTGTGTACGTTAAAATGCCGAAGTGGGATGTTAGATTTGGTAGAGCCCTGCTGGGTCTTGGTGAATCCCTGAGATCCGTGGGTTACTGACTGTGCGATAGGAGTTTGTTAAACGCCCAGCTGTGAGCGCACATCTCACATCGGCTCAGTGGGAGCGCGTATGGGGAGCCAAGCTCAGTGAGTTACTACACGGAGGAGAGAAGGTGTTAGGCAGTTTTCCGGTATGAAGTCAGAAGCAGCTGTGAAGGGCACTGCTCTTTGCCTGGGTGGCGAGCATTGCGCATTACCGGCTTGGACGAGCAAAGGGGACGGTGCTGCAAAAGGTCGGAGCAAATTGTCCCTCCTGCAGCAGGGGGAGAACTTCAGGGTCTCTGGGTCACGCATACCTTACGGACAGCAGATTGCTCACCCCTTGGCTGCAAGGTGAAGTACTACTAATAAATTAGGAGAAAATGATGCAAAAGGTGAGCCTACTCTGTGTGCACTGATACCGCTTTGGAGGGGAAAGAAGCTAAGGAAGATCAGGGACCAGAGCTGCTGGTTCTTCTCCCCTGATACCCTCCACTAACAGCTCTCCGTCACCTATGAATGAGGGGCACCATGCTTCTGAGCCAGCCCCCCTTGAGCGTCAGCGGGGGCAGGCCGGGCACCGAGTCCATTCCACCTTCAGATTTTGTCATCTCTTTTCAAAGCTAAAAATGCAATTCAGCTCCTGAAATCGGTTTCGCACCCCGTTCGCAGACTGTCTGGAGAAATGCGGAGAGGGAGCCCAGCCTGGCTCCTGGTTGTCTTTTTTGTCTTTTGATATTGAGAAGGTATTTTTGATCTCCAGAGGGAATCTTTTAAAGCTCTTCTTACTGAGTTAGCATTTCCCTTGCACTTTTTTTTTGCAGGTTGATGGAGCTAAATCCAGCATTTTTTAGTTACGTCTCTTCGGAATTCCAAGGTTTTTTACAGTCGCAAGATTTGTTTACATTTTCTAGATTATACTGTTTCTGCCATTTTATTTATAAAGTCCCTATCAATTAAAAAAGAGCAGTGTACTCCTCGATGTATTCCTCTTATCTTTGGAGAGAACGCTGGTTGCCGCAGCACAGCCTGAGAAATTTAGATTTTCATCAGCTAAATTGCATAAAACCAGCTGGCATGGAGCGATTGTAGAGCTTTCACCTTGGAGAGAGAAACGTATCCCACCCCAGCTAGACACAGGGAACGGTGGCCCTTCGTGGACCTCGGCCTTGGTTTCTCATCGTCTCTTGGAGGTGGAGAAGATTTACCTGGATTTACTGAAGGTTTTTAGTGTTGTGTGTTTAGTAGTTGGTAATTTTACCAAAGCTACACTGCTTGAATTCAGAGTTTTAAGGTCAGATGTCTGAATTTTCTGAAAAATTCTAGCAAAAATGTTCACCCACGTGGGACATGGAAATAAGGGGAAAATGCAGTGTTTTGCTGGAGGTCAGTTCCTGCACTCGCTGCTCTTGAGAGGTCCCAGCACCTCCGGCTTTGCTGCTGGGGCACCGCCGTATCTCCGGGGTGTTATGCTGCTTTTGTTAGACCCCTCTTGAGGCTCTAAATTGGAGTCAGTTCTGGTCATCTTACTGACTTCAGCGATCGGAGACATCTTCATTTACACGATGATCGTATTCCTGGGGAGAAGGGTGTAAAAGTGAAGTTTAGTCCTGTAGCCTTATATTTGCACTTGTTTGAAAATGCACTCGATGTTGGTGAACTCCATCCCTAACCGTGTAAAACAGAGTGTTATCGGATTAGAGCCACAATCAGTCACATTGCATTTCAGGATTTTAAAGTAGCATTTAAAATCGTTTGCACACAGGGAAGTAATTGTATTTTCTTACGTATAATTACAGTAACTTCAATGTTATAACTCAAATCCATTAATACACTTTTTTCTTTTGTTTAACCAATGCTGTGTTATAGTATATTAATTTCGCATGAGGGAGACACCCACATAAAAGCAAATTCACAGTTCTCTTAGCTCTAGTTAAGGGAAATCCCTTCCTACGTGGTCGAGGGGAGGGAGCGTTGGGAGGGACGTGTTGCCTCTCCTGAACACGGCCTTTGCGGTATAGAGAAACGTTGCTTTGTTCTCCCAGTATTAGCAGCAATTTTTTCTCGCCTGTGGCATTCAGAAAGCGTAACCCAGTAATCACCGGTTCCAACTCAAATGCGAAATCTTGAAGCTTTCAAGAAAAAAAAAAAGGCAGGCAATGGCAAGGAAGAAAGACGTGGAGTCCAGGTAAGGAGAGTCCACGTTAGGGCTGGTGGTCTGGAGGAATCCCTGTGCTTCCCCAGCACGCGCGAAGCCGCGTGTGCGCTGGCTGTAATGCCAGCGGGAAGCCGGCGCTGCCGGAGGGCTCCTGGTGGCCATGGCAAAGGGTACAAAGCTGATCTGGACACCCCGTGGCTGTGGCACTGACAGCAACAGCAAAGTACCAAAAAAGCGGTGAGTTCCCTTTTTTCTTCCGGTTACCTGTTCTACAGGGGCTTGGGTGGCGGGTTCAGAAAGGCAGTCAGGAGCTGCTAGCGAAATTCTTTCCAAAAAAACCCAAAAGTAACAAAAGAAGTGGTCTTTACTTCCGTGTGGTGCAGAGCCTTTTACCTGCTGGGAGAGATGGTGTGCGCTGAAAGGAGAGAGGGCTGCAGTTTTTGAGAGGTTATGATCCAAGAAAAAACCCTATAAAAGTAATCCTGGTGCTTCCAATAATTCTTTAAAACTCACTTTTACAGGTCAGCCCCGTGTGTGTCCATTTGCTTTGCTGTTTTATTGTTCCCAGAAACTGAAAGCTCCAACTGCATTTTCTTCCTACCCAACCGCAGGCAAATACGCACAATAATTCATTTTTTATACTGCTGTGATTTTCACACTGATCATCAGACAGCGCTTGGCACTGGGGTCGGGCATGCGGATTTTTGAATGACCACGAATTTCTTTGGGAAGTTTGCATTTCTTGTACACAGCAAACGTCTCGTTCTATTTCCATTACCCGTGAAATGAAATGTGAAATCTTGTGTTCTTTAGCCCACATGCATGGTTTATAAGGTCTCTTTAAATGTTAATAGAGAATTAA